AGTAGCGTTGCAGCTGTGCTTGAAATACCCTACTATCGTCCTACATTTTTTTTTTTTTTTTAATTTGATTTATATCAGAGTTTCCACAAATATTAAGCCATATACTTAAAATAGATAATTAAAACCAAAACCAAAATAAACTATATTATGTTTGGAATTCAATGAAATAATAATGAAGCAAGTCGATCGATTCAATACGGAGAAAACTAAACATTAAGATTTAAGAATATCTATTTAAAAATAATAATATGAAAAAAATTATTAAATTATATTTAATAATGTTAGCCTTCTAAGAATTTATATGCATTAGCTACATATAATGGGAAACATATTAAATATCTTAAATTAAACCAACAGACGACTGAAAAATAGAAAATAAATAGATCATAGATGGTATCTAATGATAGACAGTATCGATTATTGATAGTCACTATTGACTACAGAGTTGCACTGATTTACATGTTGATAATAATAAATACATGTCGTGATTAAAAGATAATATAATATAATCTGTGGTGAATGGTGATATCTACTTACACGATACCATTTTAGGTTTTGTAAGGTATTGAAGATCACACGAGCCTATAATAGTAATCATAGACAGTATATTAGTATAATATTAAATACATATATACAATAATAATTAATAATCCAAGACCGTGATAATTATCATGGTTTATGATAACAACCACGGTGTTTTACTACACAAACAGTACAATTTACAACATTATTATAATGATAATATCGGTCACTGATTGACTGATTCATATTTCATAAGAAGATTGATTCATCTAATGATAAGAACGATATTTGATGCAAGACCGAAATATGACCGAATCACTAGACCGCGTCATTCAAACGACCGAAAATTCCCAACTCTAATCCATAACAACGGTCAATGGATAAATGGTTCCATAATATGAAATAGCAGTCTGCGCGCACAGTTCAAGCGAACAACGAAATCTGAACTACGTTTAGAATGTGAATTTGTACATTGATTGGAACGTACGTTGTGTATATACTTATATATATAATGATGGGAGAGAAAGATTTTAATGATGAACAAACATTTGATGGTCCTGAGAAGGACCGTTTTATAAAGAGTACGTTAAACACTCTGCTAGTGTGGATTTATTTTTTTTTGGGTACGGTTTTCTTTACCGGAGACTTTTTGGCTTTGGGGGCTTTGGTCTTAATAGCAGCAGTCGTCTTTTTAGCCTTGGCAGGTTTAACGGCCTTCGGCTTGGGAGCAGCTACCTCTTTCTTGGCTTTTTTCGCAGCCGGTTCCGCCTTGGACTTTTTCACCAGCGATTTCCTCTTTTTGGCTGCAGCAACAGGCGCCTTTTTGGCAGCTGGTTTCTTGGCAACGATCTTCTTCTTAGGAACGGATTTTTTCGTCTCCGCGGCCAATTTGAAATGACCCGATGCACCAGAACCGTTGGTTTGGACCAAAAGTCCTTTTGCGACGGCGGCCTTCAGGAATTTGCGGATGAACGGAGCCAATTTGGTCGAATCGACTTTGTAGTTGGCGGCCATGTACTTCTTGATTCCCTGCAGAGTCGAACCTTTCTTGTCCTTGAGTTCCTTAATCGCTGCGGTAACCATGATCGCAGTGCTCGGGTGAGCAGAAGCGGCAGGTTTGGCCTTTGCAGCGACCTTCTTCTTAGGACTAGTTTTGGCCACTGCTGGAGCGGGTGTTGAAGTTGCGACTGCGGTGTCTGTCATTGTGAAATCTGATGATTGAACTCTTGAACGGCGAAACGCTTGGAAACTTGGTGATATTCGAATACGGAAAAATTTTTCATTCTTATAACAACTACCGTACCGACTAGTAAACAATCTAAAAAGTGAATAGTGATATTGGTAGTGATACGGCTTAAAAAGTTCTTTTTTTCTCGGTTAAAATCTATGGTTCGATATTAAAATGTATGTTTATGGAAAGCCAACAACATTTTGAATCTAATAATAATGTCGTTGAACACCTAAGATTATTACACGATTATTTATAATCAGTTGTTTTCGCGCACCTCCATTGTTTGCGGTACGCTTTTGTTTTCGACTAACTAAATCCAAGAGTATAATGAAAATTTAAAAAATCGAAATTAAACTCAATCTACATATAAT